CACGCCTGCAGGCACACCGGCACGCACGCACGCGCGCAGGCACACACGCGCAGCACGCGCACAGGCACACACCGTAATATATACGCGCGGCGGCGGCGCGCGCTTGATTGAATGCAATACACACATGCATGCTTAAAGATAAACACTTAGAATTCTACCGCGCGCGTGGACGCCGTGCTGCTAGCGGCAGAGGCCGAGCGAGATCGGCAAGGCGCGGGACCGACCTGGACAATCGATTTCAGGGCGACTTTTGCTTTGGGGTCGCCCCCGATATCGTATTTTCGAGGGCTCTTTTGGCATTTCGGGGCGAAATCGCCCGCCGCCCGCCGTGTATTTTTAACCCTGCTACCTACCTACCTACTTACCTACCTACCTACCTACCACCTACCTACTACCTACCTCTACTTACCTACCTACCTACCTAACCTACCTACCTACCTACCTACACTACCTACGCTACCTACCTACCTACCTACCTACCTACCTACCTACCTACCACTACCTACCTACCTACCTACCTACCTACCGTACCTACCTACTACCGTACCTACCTACCTACTAGTACCTACCTACCTACCTGCCTGCCTGCCTGCCTGGCCTGCCTGCCCTGCCTGCCTGCCTGCCTGCCTGCCTGCCTGCCTGCCTGCTGCCTGCCTGCCTGCCTGCCCTGCCTGCCTGCAGCAGCCTGCCTACCTGCCTGCCTGCCTGCCTGCCTGCCTGCCTGCCTGCCTGCCAGCCTGCCTGCCTGCCTGCCTGCCGCCTGCCGGCCGGCCTGCCTGCCTGCCTGCCTGCCGGCCTGCCTGGCCTTGCCTGCCTGCCTGCTGCCTACTTACCTACCTACCTATACCTACTTACTTACCTACCTGCCAATCTCCTTTCGTTAGAAGTGGAGCAAGCGAATGTCGTAGCTTGGTGCAAAGTAATAACCCGAACTGACGTGAGTGTACACGTCATCGTGGCAAGGGGTTATATTAGCATATTTTATCATATTATTTACGATCCATCGTTGTGGTTGATACAATTAAGTGTAAGGGTCACAAGGTGTCACAAGAAGGTGTCACAAATGCTCGTAAAGCAGTTTATATTTCATCATATTATTTACGATTACGAAGAATTTCCCCTCTAAGCTAATAGCGAACCCATCTTTATCTGCTGAGGAATTCCCCCACTCGTTACGATGTTCAGGGCTGACACACTTGTGTCGGCAACACCACAATACACACAACGGCAGGGGCGTAGATAGCGGGGGGGATGGGGGGATGCTTCCCCCCCCACTTATTGACGTGGGGGGATGGCGTGTACAATCATCCCCCCCTACTTTCAGGAGGAAAATGGGAGATTCAAAATTTTCTGGGGGAGGACCCGCATACCCCCGCCTGTTTCTTACAACCCTCCTCGAAAACCTGCATTGGCCACTGTCGAGCGTAACAAATTGGTCAAATTGAGCACCCACTTCAAAAATCGTTCCGCGGCGCCTGTAGAGTACTGCTAACAAAGATTATGATTATGAATATTTGTATGCATATCAAAAGTCAAATTTGAGTTCATCTGACAGGGGCGTAGATGGCGGGGGGATGGGGTATATCCCCCACACTTATTGAGGTGGGTGGCTTAGATCCCCCCTACTTTCAGAAGAAAATGGGAAAAAAATAATATTTTACAGACAATTAATACTGGATATTTATCTTCAAATCCGTCATCGCTATTCATACTCTCCTAATGTATTAAATTACAGAAATAGAACGTGACATACATCTATACTGTAAAATGGCTGTAACTCGTTCCAAGAATGACATTGATTTTAACTGAAACTCAGACGGTTAATTTTGCATATACGATTTTTTTTCAAAGTCCCCAAAGTCTTATCACTGCTCACGAAAGTTAAATCCTTGCTTTATTCAAAATTAAAATAGCCACTATTGAGAGTTGGGATATTGAATAAAAAAAAATTCTGGAATGTGTATCTAATATGACAATGTGCCTATTCCAAATCAAACTTCAAAACATACAGATGTACATAGTGAAAGTATAAATGCAGATTGAAAATAGGCTTATTTTTCATAATTATGTACTGATAGTATATACAATTTTGTAAATAATGTTTTATTAGTTATCATACTCATAATATATATTTTAGATACTTTAGTCAAAACATCAGCTTTATCTACATTCCTCTTTGAAATTTACAAATTTACCTTTTAAAATGATCAGAATTGGTTGCTTTCAACATAGCCTGAAAATGCAGGAAATGCCATTTCCAGGCTCTACATTTCAAAATTTTGAAGTAGACCCCCGCATTGCATACATATTTCTGCAGTGGCACTTTTTGGGAGGCCACTACGGCCCTGGTATTTTAGTCTTTGGTGTCCCCAAAGGTAAAAATACTCAGCTCAACAGTGATGTTATTGTGATGAAGATTGTTTAATAGTGCTGCCTCATAGTGCAGGAAGTTGCATCGAAAAGGTGTTACTTTCAACAAAATCCCCGGACCCCGCCCTAAACGAGGGGGGGCACGCCCTTAAGGAGGAAAAATCCTGATATTCTATGATAAAGATGTCAAAAATCGATTGCTTTTAGATTGCAACATTTTAACAATTCCACACAGTGGGAGGGGGACACCCCCTCCAACCCCCCTCCCCTCGGGCGCTTCGTGCCCTTGAGCTCGCATGATTCGCCCCCCCCACCTAGAATTTTCTTCTGGATCCGCCACTGGTTGTGGGGGGGGAGGTGCGTGTTATTAAACCTCTGGGATCCAAAGAAAAAAATTACCCTAGAATTCACAAAATAGAAAAGCACTTACAATATCAATTTTTTTCAATTCCGTTAAAAACGACCATCTAAATTGCTAAAATCCAAGCGCTTCAGGGGGCTCCGCCCCCTGGACCCTACCCATTAAGGGTTTTGCGCCAAGGCGCTCACGGTGTGTGCTCATCGCGCACACTCTTCATATACATTGCGATGGAAGTAACAGCGAAATCATCCCCCCCACAACTGAGGACCTGTCTACGCCATTGTACAACGGTGTGTGTGTTGACGAGAAATCGGATCACGCGGCAAAAATTCCCGCGTCAATATTAGCTAACGCTCCATTAGGAGTGTTCCCAACTTTGATATCATTAATGATTAATGATTAATAATCCTAACCCTAATCCTAACTCTAACCCTAATCCTAACCCTAACCCTAACTCTAACCCTAATCCTAACTCAAACCCTAACCCTAACCCTAACCCTAACTCTAACCCTAACCCTAACCCTAACCCTAACTCTAACCCTAACCCTAACCCTAACTCTAACCCTAACCCTAACCCTAACCCTAAATGACATTAAACCACAAACTAATATATGACCATGACCATATATATATATATTTTTTATTTTTTATTATGACCATTAATGACATTAAAGGTGGGAACACTCCTAATGGAGTATCACCCTCAATATTGCTGTGAAATTTCCCCCCTCCATCTGCAGTCGTCACCATAAACCACCTCGACTATATATATCGACCTTATAATTATATATATGTGTGTGTGTGTGTGTGTGTGTGTGTGTGTGTGTGTGTGTGTGTGTGTGTGTGTGTGTGTGTGTGTGTGTGTTGTGTGTGTGTGTGCGCGTACGTGCGCGTGCGTGCGTGCGCGTGTGCGTGTGCGCGTGCGTGCGTGCGTGCGTGCGCGCGCGCGTGCACGTGCGTGTGCACGTGTGTGTGTGTGTGTGCGTGCGTGCGCGCGCGTGTGTGTGTGTGTGTGCGCGCGCGCGTGTGTGTGCGTGCGCGCGTGCGTGTGCGTGTGAGTGTATGCGCGCGCGAATGACGTGTGTTGACGAGAAATCGGATCACCTGCCGGCAAAAATTCCCGCGTCAATATTGCTGGGAAATTTCGCCCCTCCCTCCGCAGTCGGCACCATAAACCACATTGACAATCGTATATCATTCTCAGCGAGCGCCGCGCCACCCGGCGGCGAAATGCGTTGTCGTGTGTTATTTACAGTCACGGACGATTGTCAAACGAACGCCGCGCGATGACGTCACGATTTCGCGGCCAATCAGCGGACGCGCGATCTTATCTGCAACTTTTGATTGACTCGCACTCATTCTCACCCCCCCCCCGTTCTTTGGTATTTGCGTATCTCAGCAGCGGCAGCGGTGTGTAGTAAAGGATACGGGTTACGTCTCGGCGGGCAAAGGTCAGAGCTGTGTGCGCATAGTCCTAAGACACCGTCAGGTATAAGAACGCTGGTCGCCTGTTGCCCAGAGACAGTCTGCTTGTGAGCGCAGTATCGGTACACAGCTGCTAGTAATAATAAAGAAAGAGAGACAAGCAGCGAACTAGAAAAAAATAGGGAGAGAGATAGAGAGCGAGAGACGAACACTGATACACACAGGGAGAGAAAGAGAGAGAGCGCGCGCGCGCAAGAGAGAACGAGAGAGCGCGGAAGAGAGAGAGAGAGAGAGAGAGAGAGAGAGAGTCAGAGTGGAAGAATCTACCGTGAGGTGATTATAATTCCCTTGAACATACACGTGGTTGTTCACACGGACACATGCGCTTGCGTCAGGCTGGGTTTTGCACACGAATGAAGAGACGGTGTGGAGTGAAGCGAGGTTCATACGACGGTCACATTAAACTGGAATCTGTTAATTTTCCTTGGAAATAAATGTGATCTACACACTTTCCAGTTGTTCAACATCGCAATTCAGTGAGTATATTCGTGGCACATATATACATGTATGTATATATATACACTGGAACAATATATATATATATATTATAATATCTCTCTCCCTATATCTAATATATATATATATATATATATATATATATATATATATATATATATATATATATATATATATATATATATATATATATATATATATATATATATATATATATATATACACTTCGTATATACGACGATTGCAATTATGAGAAATAGAGCGAGACACGCGTTTATCATTTTTACACGCTTCTTCACTATAGCAGCAACAACAATAGTAGCAGCAGCAGCAACAACAGAAGCAGCAGCAGTAGCAGCAGCAGCAGCAGTAGCAGCAGCAGCAGCAGTAGCGATGGCGTTCGGCAGACATCTGTGTTGCGCGTGCCTTCTCGCTCTGCTACTAACGAAGGCCGCCGACGGCGATAAGCACCACAGGAACCACCACAAAAAACTGAACCTTGGCGACGACATCGACACCATGTCGTCTCTCCTCGCCGCACCTCCGCCCGACGCGCCCTCTGGCGAGCGCACTTGGTCGGACTCGCTACTCCCCAAACCCGACAGACATCGCCCGCCGCAAGAGGTCGCCACGGAAAAACCACGCGACGACGACGATGACGATGGCGAAATGCACGAAGACAGCTTCTTCCTAGATCAGATCTTCGCTCGCTACGGCGCTGCGGGCAGCCGACATCTGATGGACTTCTCTGGATTCGAACACCTTCTCGTGCGGCTGGGACTCGCCACGCTCGGACCGGAGCTCACCCAGCACGTGTACTCCGAACACGCGACGAACAACGTCACGCACAACCCGCTACACGAACACAACGCGTCGCTAGAGGACGCCGCCGTCGCCGCTACCGCCGTGCAGTTAAAGGAGGAGGTGAAGCATAGGCACCGACGCAGCGTCGACGTTGACGGTAACCATGACAACTCACATTGGCATCCGGGCGAGCACTGGGACGCCGGAAATGCGTCGAAGCCGGTGCGAAGGGTGAGGAAGTTATACATTTCTCTGTACGTTTCCGGTTGTATTCCGCCTTTTTCCTTTTACCTATAATAATTTACCGTTAATACTATCCGGCCGCTACATTCAATATACGCTTTAAACACTGTACGCAATACATAATTTTTGTCTTGCTAACTCTTTCTCTGGCTCTTCATATTAACTCACACACACACACACACACGCACGCACGCACGCACGCACGCACGCACGCACGCACGCACACATACACACACGCACACATACACACACGCACA